ACATTTTAGATATCAACAATTTATAATAGAAAAAGCAAGGACATTTTGATATAATTCTGAAACTTGGTATCTATTAAACTTTCTTGTTATGCCAGAGGCCAGAGAGAATCTTTATCTCAAATTTCATGTTTCTTACTTCTTCTTCTTTTTTTTTGGTACCAGGGATCAAAGTCAGGACCTTGTGCTTGCTAGGCAGATGGTGGAACCACTGAGCTAAATCTCCAGCCTTCAAATTTCATGTTTCTTAGCATCTGTAGGGCGAATTCTTCATATTCTAAAATATTCATATTTTATGAACTTTGGCTCTGAACTTCACTCTAACTTATTTTATGGTCCACAAGAACACAATTTAATCAATTTTCAGACAAATATAATGTAGTTACTGATTCTAGGATTGCTTGGATTAATATAAAAAACAAACAAAAAACAATGTGTTAGGATAGCTGATAGTACCAAATCTGAAGCACTAGAAGGATAGTTGAAACTAACTGAAAGAAAACATTATTTGCTAACATAACCTATTTATTCATTTGCTTCTATAAAACTCAGAAAAAGGCAGACAGTTTACACATCAGGAAGCCATGAAACTTCATAACATTAAAACAAACAGGCAATCACGTTTCTGTCAGGGGAGGTTTTTACTAACAGTTACTTTATCTTCAGAAAAAATTCTCTCTGAATTTCTTAATGAACCATAAAAAAAAAAACCCTTCATTACTTCAAAGGTACTTTCACGAAGTGCATGATCTAGAATGGATAATCTAGAGGATATGCTAAATCGAACAGTAGAAGAGTTGTGTTTTTTTTAAAGAATGGATTTGCATGAATTTAATGTAGATGGCCTCATTGTCCGAGCAACTAGCAAATAAAACTATACATGTTAATGGTTTCCATAACATTGGAGCATACTAGTCCAATAATTATGCTTAAGAATACAACATCAGTGATGGTGATTCTGCCTCATTGAGGATGTGGAAAGATGGCCTTAATGTTAAACTATCCTCAGCTTCACTTGTAAGGGAAATGCAAATTAAAACTACTAGCTTATACCACACTTGTTGACAAAAAAGTCCACAGTTTGTTAAAATACTATTAGTGAATACTGGGAAATAGCCTTCATACAAATTGTGGAAATGCAATTGCTACCTTATAGGAAGAGAATTTATCTATTAAAATTACCAACGGATATACCTATACCAAATTTCACTTATGGCAATTTCTCCAACCAGCACATTTGCACTTGGGCAAACTTATTTCTGTTTAAGTTTACTTGTTATCCCCTTGTTTGTAATAGCACAAGACTAGAAACAGCTAACCATCCATGGAAGATTGGCTGGATTAATTACTGTACACATTGTGGAATACTATGAAGCCATGAAAAGGAATGAATAATAAGTTCTCTATGGGTTGATGTGGAAGGATCTTGAAAATGAACTTTTAAGGAAAATGATTAAGATAGAAATGTCTATAGCATGGAAAGAGAATTGAGGAATAAGAATATTGGTTCATATGTGTTCACATTTCCATAAAGAATGTTAAAAGCACACAAAAGGAAATAGTAAAAGTGATTATCTATAGGGACAGGGATAAAGAAAGTCAGGAGACAAGATGGGAGGCAGAGTCTTCACCAGAAATGTATTACCTCTGCATAGAGTTAAGAAAATAAAATCAGCTACCAAGTACAGGATAAAAAAAAAAATCTTAGCTTCCAGGTTTTTACCATTTCAGGGATAAGCAATGCTCTGTCTCAGGAGTTGGCAAACTATAGCTTTTCTGGCCAAATCTGGCTCACTGCCTGCTTCAGTCAATAGCATTTGGTTGGAAAACACCCAACCCATTAGTTATATATGACCTATGGCTGCTTTTGTACTCTGATGGCAGTGTTGTGTGGTTGAGCCATACTGTTGACAAAGCCTAAGTGTTTACTGTTTGGCCTCTTTTTAAACAGCTCTCCAACCACTGCTCTAGGTTGCTATCAGGTCTGAATGAAGTCATAAGTGAATAAACGAAGTTACCCTCCATAAATACAGATTTTCTACATTATTCAAGTTTAGATGCTTGGTGATGATTTTAACACAAACACCATAGTGTAAATAACTACATTCAGCTTGCTTTTTTCTCTTGAGTGTGTTTATCTTAAATATAACAGAGAACTATCTTTTCCTCCCCAGCTCCCAGTCCTACCTCTTTTTGGGAACAGAGCTTCAGTTTTCTGATAAGTAACTTTTGCTCAACTCATGCTCCAGGATGGCTTTAAGCCAATGAGTATTTATCTTGTTGGCGAAGGCAAGAGGACTTAGCACATGATCTAAGTCATGCCAAACAAAGCCAGTGAAAACCAACTTTAGCATTTTTGTTTGTTTAAGCTTTCAGAAAGGCCATGCAAGCTTGAAGACGTGCAGCCATAAGCGTGAAGCAATACCAGTTGTTAAAAACGTGGGAGACAGCGGTGACAATGAGACTAAGAAAAGCCTGCAAAAATAATGGGAAAATATTTGTTTTCCTTTAAAACAACAACAAGAGCAACAACAACAAAATGGGGACATGTGATTGTCATCTCTCCATCTCCTAACCTTCAGGCTCAAATGCTTATGTAATACCTGCAACTGCAGCAGCTATCTTACAATAGTGAGTCAACAGCCAGGAATGAAAGCTAATACACTAGAGAATCAAGTGCGTATTACTGGATTCACTTGTGAAAGCTATTCTGGGTACTTCAGGAATCAGTGATTTATTATAGGAATGATTACTTGTATCAAAGTTGGAAGACCATAAAAAAAACAATGATCAGGGAAGTTATTGCCTGAAGTTCAGGGTCAAGGAAAGAGACTTTGAAAACTTTAGCCTCTGTGGGAAATTGCTCTAATTCCCAATGATCTCCAAAGCTCACACAAACTGTCTTAGTCTACAGGTAGGTAAGTGGTTCTCATAACAACCAAAACAATCCTGTATATATTACATTTGCTCCTTCTTCCTCTGCTGTCTGAAGCTCCTCTTTTTCTCTTCTGCATTCCAAATATTACCTGTGCAACTCTCACTGAGAAACTTCAACGTGGAACCATAGAGGAAAGGGTCTAGGAAAAGGAGTTCTCCAGCTTTTCTCATGCAACTCAAAAGAGATAATAGAAGAGGCTAAAGATGAGTGGACAATAGAAAATCCAACACAGAGTACAAAGACAGAAAACCTTGAAGGCCTTGTTGAGCAAGTGAATCGATACCAGCAACCACTGAAGGTTTATATTATAGGAGAAAATAAAGCTCTCTTTGTTTAAGCCGCTATCTGTTGGGCCCTCTGTTACTTTTAGCCAAATATATGCCTAATGGATACATTTTCCTTTTTTGAAAACCATAAGGTAATGGACATAGAAAAACTTTCAGAAATATGAAAGTAGAAAATTAGTTTGCTTTTACAATCTGAAATGATGACCTGAATTCTGTCATTCTTTTGGTGGTAGCAAATAAAGATGAAATGTAATAATGCACTTCAACTCTAGACTACTGGCTCATTCACAAGTATCCCCTACATGGCTTCTAATGTACCCTATCCACACTGCAAATCCCACTTGTCAAAAATCATACCTATTCTTTAAGGCTAAGCCAATCACTTCATGAAAATGTCCTGGTGAGTGCCCAGACACAAGCTCTAGCTCTTCTCAGTGATCGTGGTAGAGAACACTCTCTGCTTCACACTGGATTTTGAGCTGGACTGCATCACTGTAATCATTGTTTCCAATGGGTCAGCAAACTGGTCTGCAGGAGTGGCTGTGATTACTGGAGAAGAGACAGGCCCACTCCATTGCAAATTGTCTGTCATTCCTTTCAGTCAAGTGGCAGCCCAAGACAGTATATAACTCATACAGCTGAAAATATTTACTATGGGGCCTTTTACAGAAAAAGTTGCAAAGCCCAGTTCTATTGCCTTGTAAATTAGAGAATATTATTCATTTTCATATCCCTTACACATTTAGATATTGCCTAACTTTGTAATGCTATGTGCATCTGCCTTCATTTCTTTCCCATCCAGAGTTTTCCAGTAACTTTTAAAATTTTTCCTCCAGGGAAACTTGAGAATGCATCAACTTGGGCAGGACTAATTTTACCTAGCCACTTTATTAACCTTGGATGTACCAAATGAAATACAAATATGTTATAGCGCACCCCAACTCACTTATGCATTCCATAAATGTTTACTGCTATGTGTCAGGACCAGGTCTGGGGCCTGGGTTGGGAGCAGCGAAGACATATGTGATGTCTCTGCACTGTACTTTAAGTTCTTTTTCTAGGGTTGCATTGAATGACCTCATAGACTTACAGTGCTATGGGGAATTTGAGGAAATGCAGCTCTATTCATTTTTCAGGTTTATGCATTCCCTCCAGGAAGCATCAGTGACTTGCCTAACATTGATTGATTTACTGGCAAGACCTAACCTAGGACCCAATTCTCAACTCTATGTCTAAGGCTCCTATAGAGGAAAAGCCCTTCCAAATTGGAAAGCGGAAGTTGAAGTATAGTACCAACTTTAATGTCATGCAGTGCTTTCCAAAATATGTTCTAAAGAGTAGATTCTGTTTCATATTCTGTGAGGAAAAGGAGTCCTAGAGTCAAAAATATTTAGGCAATGCTAGGCAAAATCAAGTTCCTTTAGTACTTTGTAAAGCATTCAGTAAAGATATGCTTATCAAAATTTTTAAAATTTTTTCTTCACTAATACAAAAAAGCATAGAAATTGTACATATTAATGGGGTACCACATATATTTCAACACATGAATATATAGTACATGGTATGGTCAAAAACTATGGCGAATATTAAAAATTTTTTAAACTTATTACAATGTGAGACATACTGTCATGAGCCTCCTCAAAATCCTTTCCCTTGCTTCCAGTACACTCATCCCATCATTCTTGCCACTTTGAGAAGCAGTTCTAGAAGTCCTTTTTTGTATCTTCATTTGCACTGTAGTGGCTGCCTCCATGTCCACAATCAATGCGAAATTTTACCTTTCAGGATCACTTTGACCTTGAGGAAGAGCTAGAAGCCACAGGGTCAGGTTCGGTGAATAAGATGGATAAAGGCACACTGCCTTTTTATGAGCGGCCTCGCCTTTAGGCGGCTCACAGCAGCACTCACAGTGTCTTTGATTATGCCTCATAAAGACGCGTGAAAGAGTACTTCCAGAACGTGGCAAGGATGATGAGTTATTTGAAGTGAGGCAGAGTATTCTGAGGGGGTACTAACGGCAATATGTCTTTTACTATAATAAACTTTTCAAAGTTTTAACATTCACCATATATTTTGATCACCGCGCGTACAATGTTTAAATAAGGGTAAGCATATCTCCCCAGACGTTTAGCATTTAGCTTTTTGAAATATACGGTACATACTCGTTACCTAGAGGTACATTAACATACAGCAGAGCGCTAGAACTTCTTGCTCCTCGGTATAACTTCGTATCCATTAATCAGCCTTCCCCCTTGCTTCCTCTCCCTGCTCTCTCCTCAGTAACTGCCATTTGACTCTCAACTTCTGGGAGATCAACTTTTCTTAGATTCTACATGTGAGTTGAGAGCATGTAGTACTTGTCTTTCTGTGCCTGCCTTATTTAACTTAACACGGTGATCTCCAGTTCCGCTCATGTTGTCACAAATGATGGGATTCCATTCTTTCTTAAGACTGAATGGCATTCTGCGGTGTATATATGTGCGCCACATTTTCTCTGTCTGTTCATCAGTTGATGGAAACTTAGACTGTTTCCCTTTCAGGGCTATTGTGAAAAGTGCTGCAATAACTGTAAGCACAGACATCTCCCTGGCGTACTGCTTTTATTTCCTTTGGTTATATGCCCAGTAATATGACGGATGATATATGGTAACTCTATTTTTAATTTTACATAATGGCAGTGCTAATTTACATTCTTATCTACAGTGTACAAGGGTTTCCCTTTCTCCATCCTCGCCAGCACTTAATATCATTAGTCTTTGATAATAGCTATTCTTACCTGGGTGAGATGATACCTCACCTGGCTTTAATTTGCATTTCCCTGATGACTAATGATGTTGAAAAACTTTTTCACATATCTGTTGCCTTTTTTTTTTACAGAAATATCTATTTAGGTTTATTGTACATTTGAAAATCAGGTTATAGGATCATAAATTTCTAAGAGGAGAAATAAAGCATGTAGAATTGACTGACAAGCACCCCCTCATCCCAAAGTATCTTATAGAATGACTGCTGCTTAGGACATTCTCTGTTAAGACTGGGACTGCTTCTTTTCATCCTTCCAGTAATTTAGTAGCTTTTTTTTTTTGGTACTGGGGATCGAGCTCAGGACCTGGCACTTGCAAGGCAGGCACGGTGCCACTGAGCTAAATCCCCGGCGCAAGGAGCATTTATAAGAGAAAGTTTATAGAACATTTATAAGAGAAATGTTGCTGATAGTCTTGTCACTCTTCATTCCACTGTAATATCTATAGCTGTGTGACTCCAAAGTTAGAACGATAAACATTTATTTTTTCAGTTTTCAGGTCAGGAATCTGGGTACGACTTATTGAAGTTCTTTAACTCAGGGTGTTGCTCCAGGCATCAGTCATATGGGACTGTGATGGGACTGCAGTCACCTCAGGCTGGACTGTGGAAGTTTCTGCTTGCATGCTCCTTCTTATAGCTGTTGGCAGGATTCAAGTCCATGTGGGTTCCTGTCCAGAAACAGCAGTCCTTGCCGCATAGGGCATCCTTTTTTTTTCATTATTTAGAGAATACTTTATTAGTTTCTGTAATCAAACCCACATAGATATGATCTTACATATTTAATACAGTGCTTTACCCCTGTACAAATGGAAAAAAAATTAACATTTCTAGACCAATATGGCTGTTAATTTCTGTACAATGCCAACTCAACACAGTAAACTGGGATAACTTTTTCCAAAGTTCCCCAAAATTCAAATTATATATGCATATATATTATTTATATTTATATTTATATAAAAAGACCGATAATAGCAGTATGTTATTTATCAATAGCAGAAACAGCTTTTCCAGGTTCTGCAGTCATCTGAACAAAATTATAGACATCCAGCACACTCCATTAAAAAACAAATAAACAAACAAAAAACAAAGAAAAGAATAATACCCAGAAAACAGCAAAGTTCTGTTACTGTTGTGGTACCTGGCACCATTATTTTTTATTAGCATCTTAATCATCATCTGGAAAGAAAACATTCTAGAGTAACATCGTTAAAAACAGCTCTGATAAAGCACGGTCACTACTACATATCATAAAGTACAAGATATTTTATATTCACAGAGGTATGATACAGCACCGTCCTACATCTATAATACTAGAGGATACAATTAAAAAGCCATTATTTCAGACTTGATTCTACTTTTTCCAGCAGAGGGCCCAAAGGATGATATGACACTTGATAGGGCCAGTCACAATATGGCTGTTTGCTGGGAGCAAGAGAGAGAGGAGAAGCAGAGACAGAGGAAGGAGAGGAAGGAGGAGGAGAGCAGAAAAAGCAGAGAAGAAAAGAGAGACCAGTTTATAACCTAATTTTAAAAGTTCCACCCCTTTACTTTGGCAGCCACACAATGGTGGGCTGTAAAGCCATTGGGGTTGTATCGGGGATGAGTTTCATGTACTGAAGACCATGGAGTCCTTTAGAAATGGCCTGCCATATTCATTCTCCAAAGCTTTCATCCCACTTTGACTTTTACTAGTTTATCCAACAGGTATTTCAAAGAAACAGCCTTGCAAAGTAGTGCTTTATTTGAGGCAAGCACTTTCAAGCTTAAAGAAACAGAAGCTTTCAAATGTGCTCAAGTCATGGGTTATTCTAATGCTATCCAGGGAGTTAAGTCTCACAGCCCACCTGTTATTGTTCTGGGGACAGGAGGTTTCAACAGTACTATGAATAACCAACATATAGTGAATGCTCTACTGTGCCAGGCTCTGTTCTAGGTTTTAGTCATGTAATTCTTAAAACAACCCTAAGAGGAAGGTGCAGTCTTATGTAGATGATGATACTAAGGCACAGAGCAGTGAAGTAACTCCTCAAAGCCACATGACTCCGAATGATGGAGTCAGGATTTGGTGCCTGGAAATATCTTACCAGAGCCTATGTTCTGAACCATCACACACCACCACTTGCTTGCAGCATGTGCAGGATTTCACAGGCTCATAGCTTAATTTCTCCCTCTGCTTCTTTCCTTTTCCTGGGCTATGGGTCACCAGGCAGATATCCTGGTGGATGCCTGTCAGAAAGAGACAGTGTAAGATTCTAGAAATCCTTCCGTCTTCAAATATTGGTAAAAGCCAATTATATGCCATACCCTGGTACCTCCCAAGGGTATTGTGTCCAGTGCAAGAGTATGTGGCATGCTGTTTCTATTTCTCTAAGGGTGAAACCCTCCGTCAGACCTTTATCATTTCTGAGACACATCATGGAACTTGAAGATGTTCTTGGTCAGACTGGGAGGTGCCAGGAACTGTAGATCAGTAATGTAGGCTTTCCTTGGTCTGACTTGGTCCACTGTGCTTTCGAATCCAGGCTTCTAAAATGACTGTTCTCTACTTCCTTCTCCACATCCTTTGCTCCTCATCCCTACTGACCCACTCTCATCTGGTTCTGGCCCAGCTACTCTGCCAAAACTTACCTGTGAAAGAAACCAATGACCTCCTGGTTACTAAAAGAAAGATACATTTTTCAGGGGCGTGACACTCTGTTTCTCTGAGTCCTGTGTTGCTGCTGCCCTTGTTTCATTTTTTTTCTTTCTTTCTTTGAGATATCACCCTCTTTGCTGGTTCTTCTCTCTGGTTGCTTTATCTTGGGCTTCCTGTAGGCACATATTCTAGTTTATTAATTTAGGAGTTCCTTAGGGTTTTTTTGTTTGTTTGTTTTTTTGAGACAGGGTCTCACTATGCAGCTCAGGCTGGTCTCGAAATCACAGTGATCCTCCTGCCTCAGCCTCCAGAGTGCTGGGATTACAGGCATGTGCCACCACACCTGGCTCCTTAGGGTTCTTTCCTCCATCTTCCTCTCATTTTTTCTAACTTTGATTCCAACAAAATTTCATCCAGGGCCATGAAGTCCCAAAGAAAAACTCTTTCTCCTGAGCATCAGATCTCCTTTAAGAGATCTTTAAGAGACTTGCAGAGGCAAGTCCACACCTCTCAGATGTGCTCAAACACATGTCCAAATCTGATCTGATCATCTTCCCTCCAAACCTGCTCCTTGTCTTGCACTCTCCATTTCTGAGAAATCACCTTCTGCCCATATGGCCAGACTGGAAGTTCCAGATTCACACTGACACCTACAAGTCCTTAACTTACAAACTTGATTGGTTCCTGAGGGCTGGTTGTAATTCAAATTGTTGCAAGTCAATACAGCTGAAATTTGGATGTTTACCTGGGCATATACTATAGATAGTAAGAGGCAGATTTATCTTCCATTAACCTAATTAGCCCATGTTGTTTGTATGTAGGCCAGTTGTAACTTGAGGGTCCATTGTACTTCTTTTATCTAGCTTTTACCATTAATGTCTGAAATCTACTCCTTTCTTTTTTCTGTAAAATATGGTACTAATTTTTCCAATTTGAAAAATAATACATTTTCAAAACAGATAACTTAGAAAACATAAAAATCCATTAAGGAAAACAACTGCCCCTTGGATCCCAGTACATGCAGAGAACCACTGCTGGCCTCAGGCCTCTCAGGAGCCAGCAGAAGCCAATATGCCAAGCCTAGACTTCTAAGACCCCAAAGAGGAACAACCATTTGTCTCCCTCTAGCGTACCTAAAGGCCAACCCTGTTAGGAAAGGTTGTGGGTCCCACAGCATTTCTGAATTTCTACCTTTCAGTCTCCTTCTTTCTGGGCCTCATCTTACTCTCTTGCCTAAACTCCCACACCTGCCTCCTTAGCATCTCCCTCACCCTTTCCAGTATATCCATACTGCCATCAGAATTTTTTCTTTCATCAACCAAGTATTGTTCAAAATGCTTTAGCCACTCACAGCTGCTTATTGATTAACATCTAAAACTCCTTTAACCAGATAGACAAGTCCTTGAAAAATCTGGTTCTTCCTTTCAACCTCATCTCCCAGTGTACTCTTATTAATACAAATATTTGAAAATCCTCTCTGCTCCTGCTTGGACTCTACCATCCTACCTTCTGATGTCTGGTGACTTTCCGCTTGTGTATCAGGTTTCAGTTTAAATATTGTCTACCTTCAGAGGCCCTGAAGTACAGCTGAACCTCTGAAGCAACACCCCCGTTCAACATATTGCACCATGAGCTCGACTGACTCCCTAAGACTGGAACTCAGCAAGGACATTATAGGCACTTACCAGGATCATGTGCAGAGGGGCAAACACTCTGAAGCTTCCTGCACACGCTGGAAACCATTTTTCTATATTGATAGGCTGGAGATTGCAAATTTATATCATAGCAATTTATTTCTATGGGTTCCTTCATGGTCTGACAGTAATATATTCCTAACGAAAGTAACCTCTGAACACTTCAGGTAGACTAATGAGATCTCTTACTGATCCTCTTCCCACAGTGCTTTTAAAATTGTAGCTTCAGTAATCTTTCAAAAACACACATCTGACCAATTCTTTTCCTCCACTTCAGGAACTCCACACCTAGCTTAAAATCCTTCATGGCTTTCCAATATTCTCAAAAGGAAGAGAACGCATGAGCTGTCCCACCATGTTCCACTGTGTTGCCACGACACTGGCCCTCTCCGGATTCCTTGTACTTGCTTCCTTTGTCCCACTGCAGGGATTTTGCATAAGCTCTTCTGCCTGGGCCTCTTTCTGTTCTTCTTCCCCTGGTCCATTCATTCTCACCCGCAGTGCTGCTTCCTCAAGGTAATGTTTCCCGTCCTTGCATACGTCAAGTTCCCCACACACCATTCTTCCAGAGCGCTTGTCATTTTGCATTTTGCTACTGAACACTGTCATATAGTCGATGTCCACTTTCCAAGTGCTGGCTGGGGAGCTGTGAGAGCAGAGCTACGCGTCTCAATTTCCCTGTTGCCTCCCATTGCTCATATAATGGTTAGTGTAATGCAGGCACTCCATGATAATTTGCTGAACAAATGAAGATCAAGAATTAGAGGGGTTGCCGTGTTGCTTTTACCCTCATCACCACACCGCATTTGCATGTGTCAACAATTTTCCATAGTGTTTTCAGATGTTATCTGATATTAACAATTGAAGTGTGGGAAGGGCAACCCAGCCAGTGACTTGTTCAACATTGCATGGATAAAAAGGAATAATTTGGGAGTAGCACTGAGCCCTGTCAATTTTTAGACCAGGCTTCTCCTGGCCATTAAATAATCAAAAAAGGAAGCAAAAGGAGTTAATATGGAACACAACAGGGAATATCTACATATAAAATAGTAGAAATAGCCGAATAAGCTAAAATGAATATACAAAATAAATTTTATTTTTTTTTGGCTAATAGAGTTTGGTTCATAGAACAAGGGTAAAAATACTTTCACGCTGTCATTCTAGTGTGTGCTGTTTTGATTCTGATGAAGAGCATGTCATTGTCCTCTTTACAAAAGGGGTAGTTAATATCATAATTCTCATTAAAATTTAGATGTTCAATAAATGTTGGCTATTAAATTGTTGGTGAAAAAGTCTATTTCTGGAAACTGTTTCATTCTTAATGAGACTATATTTATTTTTGTAAGGAAATGAGAAAAGTTAATCACTTGAGAGTAACCGAGTCTATTAAACAGCAATCTCAAACCAGTTACACTTGTTCATTTATCTAGTATTTTGTAAACAATTTGTATTTTAAAAATTTACATGACAATAGTCGTGCCTTTATAACTTTACGCAAATACATTTTAAAATTCAGATGTTACATCCCAAATAAAATGCAGAATAAATTGTGAACTCACACGCGCCAGGAGTTCCCACATAAAATTAACCAAGTATCTAGTGAGTGCTGATTATATATCAATCTTTGCATCTCTTTGGGGCTTACATCAGAATAATTTTAATCTATCTATCCCACTTAAACTCATTTTATTCAATTTAATCTACTTTGTAATTATCGGGGGATGGGGAAAAGGAAGCAAGGTCTTAGACTTACAAAAAATTCGTGCCATTATATTTACACAGCCACTATATTTACAAAGATGGGTATTAAGAGTTCATAGTTCAGGGCAAGTTAGTTTCACTTGTTTGAAGGAATGTTTGCAACCTTTAACAATGAATCCTGCATTTGCCCACCTATCCAGTGAAGAGACGTTATCAGAAAATATTGTACAAAAATTGCAAAAAGGTGAGAGATGTCATTTCGCCTGCTTCGCTAGGTTTTTCTGCAGCTACGGGTATGTTCGTCTGTTTCAAGTTTTCAGCGAGGGCAAACCGTTCTCTGTGCAGCCCGAGGCGGGCGCTCCCACGCGCCGAGGGGGCTCCCGTAGAGCGCCTGCGCGCCCCGTCACGTGGGAGGCGCTCGGCGCAGAGCGGGTTAAAAGTCATGACCGCAGCGCCTACAAGCGCTCTGTCGGTCGGCCTAGCGCCCTTCCCTCCCTTAAACCGAGGGAGCCCGCAGGTGCTCCCCTGTGTCCAACCACCTCCGGACTCCTCGGCTAGACTCAGTTTCACAAAGGTAGCAGAGCCGCACGCGCGCGCGGAACCGCGTCTTTCAACTGACAATGAAGCCGCAGCCCCGAAACTCAGCTGCTCCGGGCGAATGGGCGCGAGGCGGGGGTTGTGGGGGGAGGAGGAAGAGAAACACTGAGCTAAGCCCCGCCTCAGCTCGGGCTCCTATTGGTAGATGCCACGCTTCTGGACCCGCCCCCTAACGGACCTGTCGCTTTGTGACAGGCGGAGGCTCCAGTTCCTGTTGGGCGAGGGGCGGAGTTAGAGGTTGCCTGAGCTCCGCCCGTACTCCAGGGGCTCCTCCCCTTGCTCGTCTCGGCGGGGCGGGCGTGAGGGGGAATGTCATTGCTTCTCGGAGCTGTGGTGCCGCCTCCGTCTGCTCCTTCTCTGGCGCCCTCGTCCCGTCGGCTTTCGCCGCCGCCG